ACCATTTCATTCTTGTTATACATAAGGTCCTTATGAGTCAGAGCTGGCTTGAAGGTACCTAACAACATTAGTAAACATATAAAGTGAGTAACAATAAAAAATGTTTTGTTACTAACGAACAATCTCCCAAGATATTTCCTTCCTTAAATCAGGACACAGTTTATATCGCAAATTTTTAATAAATAGATACTTCCAAGTTTTATATACTCACCTAGTCATATGAAAAAAATGAATGTTAACTAATTTGTTTCACTTATTTGTTACATATTTGTGCCATATAAATCAAGTATAGCACATCCACAAATTCATAGATTGATCTCACTCAAAGATGTGTTAAAATCCAAAAATAAAATACAGTAGAAAAATCTTCTATAAAGGAGTCTAAACAGCAGACAATGGAATTAAAAAAAAGATTGTTCAAGGCAATTGCACTGTTAATATGTCTCTGTTGTTGATTACTGGATGATCTCTTAGAACTTCATACCCTTGGACAAAATAAATAACTATGATCCTTAATTTGTAACACCCAGTGATGATGAGGCTATCAATGACTGAGTGGAGTTGGCAGAGAGGAAGAATCCCTGGCGTAAGAATTGAGTGGTGTAACTATCAATGGAGGAAAAATGAGTGTTAGGGGCTATTTTGTGTTGTGAAAATCTCATAAATCTTATAGACAATAAGTCATTTACCACTGAGATGGCGATACTCTAAGTGAATAAGCTGAGAGAGAAACTGAAGAAAAAAAGGCATAGCAAGAAGCAAGGGCAAAGAGATGATGCTGATGAATGTTTAGCAAAGAGACATTGCCTTATTTTCTTCTTACGTTTCATCATTTTCTGTCACAATAAATCATGATCGTCAGTGATTTTTCACACCTCATCTACAGAGCAACAAGCCTTTATTGTTATGCTAAAAATGTATATAGTTTTCCTTATATCCTGAACCCTTTTCCGATTTGCAAGAAACAAATGTGCACTAAAATTCTGAGTTTTATATCATGAGAATTGATACATAGCATGCATTGGTTGTGTTTATATTACTAAATATTTAGGTATGTTTGTAGCATGTTACATTTTTATATATAACATAAACACCAATTGGTGCAAAATCATTAAATATACATTTCTATTTTATTCATATTACATATTTATATTAGTAAAAGATTTTTATGTCTTAGATTTAAAAATTATTTAAGTAATTATCTTGCTATATATTTTATATTATATAGCATACATTAAATACTGAAACACTTTTTTTTTTAATTTGTGTTGTTTTGAAATGAAGATTGTATACTTGATTCATGTCAAAACATATTTAGTGAAGTTCTGCTATATGCCACGTTCTATGTGGTACGTGTTAGAATCATGGCACAAATAACAAAATCCCTGACATTATGGAGTTTATACTTTAATGAAGGATGTGTTTATGGAGAAAGATAAGAAGCAAACATGTAAGTAATCTCTCAGAGAGGTTGCAGAGCTAATGGAAAGAAGGAGTCGGAGACAATGAGCATGGACAGCACTTTCAAGAAGTTTATCATGAAATAAAAAAGATGAAATCTGTATGGAGTTGGAGGAAAAAGTAGAAACAAGTGAGGGCTGTTTTATTCTTTTTTAAGATTATAGCTTCAAAAGCTCGTTTGTTGTTGGGTAGAGAAGAAACTGGTGTTTGATAAGAGAGAGAAGGTGATGCAGGAGAAATTCTTGGGAAGAGCAGAAGGAATGGGGTCCAGAGCCTATGTGGGATCAGGGCTTTTTCTGAGAGAAGACATGGAGCATGAGAGCAAGTGGAGACTGGTTTGTAGATTTTCTAATGGAAAGACTTGGGAGTTCTCTGATAATGAATCTGTTAAAATTTTTTTGGAGGATAAGTTATTGGCAGAGATGATTCTGTAGGGTGGGAAGCTTGAGGCAGAGGATAAAACATAAAATTGGAGTAGATTTGACTCTCAGAAAGCACTTAAACTAGAAAAATCTAGTAGCAAATCCGGTGTTGAGTACCTATTTGAGATAATATATGCATGTGTATGTGTATGCATGTGCATGTGTCCCAACAAGGGACATTTTGCTCTCTTTATATTTTCATTAAATTATTACATGCATAGTGTTCAAAAACTCAAGTTGCACTAAAAGTCTTAAGCTCCTCAGAGACAAATACTTCAAATTTCTTTAACTGTTTCTGCTAGAGAACTTTTAGTGAACTGTTAAGGATACTCTTTAAGGATCATATCATTATGCCAGGTTTTCTGAAATTTCCCCATGAAGAGCCTTGGTATGAGGGGTCTTTTTCATTCACTGTACCTGACATTCAGGGGGCTTCATCAATCTTGGGAAGTTTTTTGCATTAATTCTTTGACAATTCTTTTCTTGTTTTATTTTCTCTGTTCTCTCTTTCTTAAACTCCCATGATTTGAATATTGAACCTCTTAAAATTTCTTATTTTTTTCTCATATTTTCATTCTACTTTTTGGCAGAATGTCCTAATATGCTCCTCCAACATTTTTATTAACTCCCTAAAATATTTTGAGTGTTATATTTTAACAGTTAAATTTTCTAGGATGTTATATTTCCTAAATCTTTTCTTTCTTTAAGTTGCATCTTTTTCACAGACAATAGGGGTAATATGGAGCCCTAGTGGCGCAGTGGTTAAGAGTTACGGCTGCTAACCAAAAGGTCAGCAGTTCGAATCCACCAGCTGCTCCTCGGAAAGCCTATGGGGCAGTTCTACTCTGTCCTATAGGGTCGCTATGGTCAGAATTGAGAGTGAATACACTTGGTCCTCCTTGGTATTCCCTTCTGCAGGCACTCAGGTTTCACCTTGTTCCGCTCCAGTAAGTCACTCCTCCACCTATAGCTTATTGTCTAAAATTTCATCAACTTCTCTTGTCCTTGTTTACTCTTCATTAATTTATCCTTGTGGATGTACACATCTTTTACTCCTTTTTTGTTATTTTAATGGATCTGGAAAGGGAAAGGGGTAAATGTCTATGCTCAACCTACCAGGTTTTAGAATTTCTTCATCTACATTTAACTGCTCTGATGTTATCATAGAGAAGAGAAGTAGCTGGGTTCATTCAAAAGCAGGGTTTTCCCCAATAAGTATGATTCAGGGAGAAAGGTGAAAGGGAGTTGACAATGTAACCAAGAGAATATTTTAATAGCGGATCGTGGAATTTAAGTAAGGTAAGAATAGACATAAAGACAAACTGGTTTGAGGTCAATGGTTTGACAATCTGAATAAGACTAAAGAATATTGCAGTGGAGCTACTAGAGTACAAGGTCTGGAAGCATAGGGTATTATTGTCAGAAAGAGAGATATTTGAGATCTAAGTAATGCAACTGTAGGTGGTGACAATGTCCAGAATATGACCATAGAATGATTAGTGATACAGGTGTAGAAGAAAAGCTAATTGAGGAAAAGTCAGATAATTTAAAGGACAAGGGTATCCTTACAATTGCAGAGAATTGTAAGAACCAAAGGACCATACAGTCATGGATGCTCAGGCCACTAAGAATGATGACATGAATAAAAATGAATATAGTTAAAAGCTAAAATCAGTAAATGTGAGGAAATTGATGGCAGGATCAATGAGGAATAGCAAAGAAGCTAGAATCTTTGAAAGAGAAAGGAGGACAAAAGTTTAAAAAGAAGCAATTAGGGTTAAGGAAGATATTTATGCCCCCTCTCGGGTTTGAGAACATGTGACTTGTGAGAGCTAAACTGGCCTTCACTAAGGAGGCTACGGGGAAGCACTGTCTTCAGGAGACAGCTTGTTTTCTCTTATAGCCAGGAGGTAAAGAAAGCAATTATAAAATGTGTTAAGACTATAGGAGAGTTAGTTGATCACAGATCTGGGGTTCCAGAGGACGCATGGAAAATGTCTGCGAAGACAGAGGTGGGGATAGATGTAGATTAGCAAACATTCTGTAATATGGGATTGGAAATCGTTGATTGTAACAGATGGCCTAGAAAGCAAAAACAAAGAAAAGTTCAAGTTTAAGCTAAAACCCTTGGATGCCTATTTTTGGTATGGTTTTAGGGCTGCTGCTCCACTCAGTAGTGTCAGATGATGTGATGTCTTAGGGAAGGAAGGGAATAAATATAATCAATCATAATAGGTGCCCACTTACTGTCGTGGTTTGAATTATGTCCCCCCAAAAACGTGTGTATCAATTTGACTGGGTCATGATTCCCAGTATTGTATGATGGTACTGTGTGATTTTCCTGTAAGTTGTAAACCTGCCTCTATGATGTTAATGAGCGAGGATGGGTGGCAGTTGTGTTAGTAAGGCAGGACCTGATCTGCAAGACTGGATTGTGTCCTGAGGCAATCTCTTGAGATATAAAAGACAGAAGTGAGCAGAGAGACAAGGGGACCTCATACCATCAAGAAAGCAGTGCCAGAGCAGAGCGTGTCCTTTGGACCAGGGTCCCTGCACAGAGACGCTCCTAGTCTGGGGGAACACTGAAGAGAAGAAGGCCAACAGAGAAAAAAAGCCTTCCCCTGGAGCTGACACCCTGAATTTGGACTTTTAGCCTACTTTCACTATGATGAAATAAACTTCTCTTCATTAAAACCATCCACTTGTGGTATTTCTGTTGTAGCAGCACTAGATGACTAAGACAGAATTTGGTACCGAGAGAGTGGGGTGCTGCTCTAACAGATACTTAAAATGTGGAAGTGGTTTTAAAACTGTGAACGGATAGACGTGCGGCAGTGACAGAGGACGAGCAGCAGCAGAGGACCTACAGCAGCTGAGAAGCGGCAGCAGCAGAGAACCAACAGCAGCAGAACCAGGAGACCAGTGCAAGACAGCACTGGAGCCGACCCATGGAGCGAGAGAGCTGAGTGCCTGTGTGCAGGAGGCTTCCTGGCGGAGTGGGGTGCCTCCGGGCACTTATACCGGTGGAGCTACGGCGCTTTGGAACACTTGCCCCAGCAGGGCAGATGCGGGCGTGAGGCCCGAGGGTCAAGAGGCCATAGGAAGCAGAAGCTGAAGAGACAAGGGACACAAGAAGCTGAGCTGCTTCAGCCTCAAAAGGTATGGGCATGACCTCAGGGGTTTCAAAGGGTGGAGCCATGGCCTCTGGTGTTTCTAATGGTGGAGTTACACTCCGATGGACGAGGAGAATGGTGCGCCTAAAGCCAAGGGAGCAGAGTTGCTGGCCCAGTGGGCCTGGAAGGCGGAGCTGAAGCCCAGGGCCTAGGGGCCTCCACTCGAAATCCAGAGACTGTGGCCAATACCTAAAGTCTGGAGGGCAGGGCTATTGTGTAAATTGTCTCAGAAAACAGAGGATTATTTTCAAAGCCTTGAGGGCTAATGTAACGTGTTCTACTGACTTGCTTGGGGCCTGTTATCACTTCTTTTCCTCTAGTTTCTCCCATTTGTAATGGAAATGTCTAGCTTATACCTGTTCTACCATTGTACCTTTGGAAGCAGATAACTTGTATTCTAGATTTCACAGATGAAGTAGAATTTTTGGATTTTGGACTTGGAGTTAAGACTTTAGCTGTGACATGATGGAGTGAATATGTTTTGCATGTTGCAAGGATGTGATTTTGGGGGGGGCAAAGGGTGGAATGTCATGGATTGAATTATGTCCCCCAAAAAATGTGTATCAATTTGGCTGGGCCATGATTCCTGGTATTGTGTGGTTTTCCTTTAAATTGTAAATCCTGCCTCTATGATGTTAATGAGGGAGGATGGGTGGCAGTTGTGTTAGTAAGGCAGGACTCAGTCTACAAGATTGGCTTGTGTCCTGAAGCAATGTCTTGAGATACAAAAGACAAAAGTGAGTAGTGAGACTGGGGACTGCATACCATCAAGAAAGTAGTGCCAGGAGCAGACTGCGTCCTTTGGACTGGGGTCCCTGCTTGGAGAAGCTCCTAGTCCGGGGGAACACCGAAGAGAAGAAGGCCGACAGAGAGAAAAAGCCTTCCCCTGGAGCTGATGCCCTGAATTTGGACTTTTAGCCTACTTTGACTGTGAGGAAATAAACTTCTCTTCGTTAAAACCATCCACTTGCGGTGTTTCTGTTACAGCAGCACTAGATGACTAAGATACTTACCAAGACTATAGGTAACTGGCCTTTAGCTTAAATCTAAATGCTCAATGCTAGGTGAACTAATATTATTTTAAAACACTCTTTAATGAAATACAAAAATATTTCTAATAAAATGAAAAGTATAAAAAGAAGCGTTTCATCGGTATGTAAACAGAATGATTATAAATTTCAATTGAAGATATATGAACATATTAATTTTGGTTATCCCTAAGATTTTGGGTTTTCTACTTGATGATCTTCTGAATTTTAAAAATTCTATAATAAACATATTAAAATATTATATTAATAAGAAGAAAACACAAAAATATTTTTTAAATATCACAATAGCATCATTTTGAATCATTTTTCTTACTTAGATGTAGCCTGATTCCATTTTAAAAAAATTGCTATTCTGTGAAATATTCAGATTAATAAACAAGTTTACCTTTGATATACACAAAGGTTATCAGTTTTTCATCCTTAAAATTGAATTAACTCTTTAAGCCAGTGATTTCCAAATTGAACTCATCATCAGAATCAGTAGGAAAGCTATTAAAAAAATAAAGAAAAATCTCATGGTGCCACTTGCCAATTACTGAATCAAAAATTCCTGAAGTGGGGGGTCATTCTGATAATTCAATATCTGTTTGGAATCTCTGTCAAAATAATGCAAAACAAAACAAATTAAATTTGATCTAATCAATAATTAAATTAGTAATCTAATTAGCCCATAAATTGAACTAGTCGCCAGGTTATTTTCTTTTTTAAAATTTAAAATTAGAATCTTAGATGGAGTAAAGTTTTTCCATTTTTCTCCTCCAGCTAATCACAATAAAAAAAACCCTGGACAACATATGTAAGTCTTTCACCTGAAGACTCCGAAAGATAGAGAAAAGAAAGCTGACTGGCTGGAGATCTCAGGAATAGAAAAACCACCTGGGGGTGAGTTCCTTGATTTTTGTTTTTGTTTTTTCCCTTGTCTCTTATATATCACTGCCTGGGCAGTAGAAAAGGCTACAAACTGGAAGAGTCAGAAAAAAGTTCCCCAATAGCGTGGTCTCTCTCCAGCCAAAAACCAGTCAAATGGTATCCCATAGAACAGAAACCTTTTAACCATACCACTCTGTTCTCCAGACGAATACCAGGAAAAAATACTGTGCCTTCCCCCAAACCCAAGGGTGTTTCAGCAGCAGTCAGTAGGCTGACTTGTGTTTTCTGACTCCCACTCCACCTCCCAACAACTGGTGGATGCCCCTCCCCCTACCTAGCCTAGTCTCAAAGACTGTGAGACAGAGTCCTTTCATCTAGGCAACATTAAGTGGGGCAATTAAAAGAGCACTGCAGAGACTTTATAAACTACACTGACATGTGAACCACAGTCCACAAAACTGAACCAAGATATGCATTCTGAACCTAAACAGGTTCACTAGTTGCTAAAATAGAAGCCATAAATAGGAACCAGAGTTTTATAACATACTGCTCAAAATGTCCAAGAGACAGTCCAAAAATTACTTATTATACCAAGAACCAGGAAAGTCTCAACTGGAATGAGAAAAGGCAATCAACACATGCCAATGCTGAGATGACCCAGATGTTAGAATTATCAGGTGAGGTTTTTAAAGCAGTTATTTAAAAACTAGAGTCTTAAATTATATTACTAACAATCCCTAACTGTCTCAACCCTGCCAGTTTCAGATACTTAGGCAATTCAAACTCCTCTTTTAGCCCTAATACCTGAATCAATTCTAGTTATAAACAGCAGTACCAAGTAAGTGGGCTCTGGAATTATCGGTGATATCTGATATCTAACATAGCTTTTCTCTCTCATTTTCCTTGTTTTTTGTTTTTTTTTTCACATTTCAATCTGTTGGGATGAGTTCCTGTCTTGCTTTTTTAATTTATAATACAGATCCATTTTGAGATTGGAATATGAGCTTTTATCATTGTGTTTTGGGCACTGGTGGCCTACTTAGTTCTTGCAACTTGCTCTTTCTAAGAGTTACTCCTTGTCCGTGTTGTTTTGGACACTGGTTGGACTTCATTTTAAACCAGACAGAACTTCATATTGTGTGCTTTGATACAATCTATAATCACCTGTCCCCAATGTTTCTCCATAAGAATGAACACCTTGGATAGGTATGTCTGCCTAGACTGAGTACACATTCGTTCCTTATACTTTTGTTTATTTATTCTTAATGTAGCTGGGTTAGTTCCCTTAACTATCGTTCTGCCAATTTGAACTCTTTACTGGTTATTGGGATCTCAGCATGTTGCAAAATGGAAACTCTTCAGGTTCTAAATAGTGGTAAAATATTTAGATATGTAAACTTTTTATTATGCAATTATTGATAATCAAAATCATAACTGAAACATATATAATTAGAGAAAAGATATGGTTTGCCTTTTGGAGATGGCAGGCCTTGCGTTTAATGTACATTTTTAGGAATAAAAAATAAAGGCAATATACATACCAACGATTGCAATTTATTTATTTATTTTTGGCAGAATTTGTGGAAATTTCTTGACTGTTTTTTTGGAAATAGAGTAGATTTGATTTTTGTGACAAAAACAAAGAAAGATGGGTAAAGATGTGGGGCAAGTAGGAAGATGGCCACATCCATAGGCAGAGCAGTGCCACCAAAAGTGAGCTAGATATCTGGGAAATAAGAAGTGCAGAAAGAATTAAAACAGGACTTTTGAATGGAATAAGCACATCAGAAGAAAAAGTTATTTGAATTGTTCTGAAAAGAAAAGACCTAAAAAATGAAACAAAAAATCTAGGTCATACAGAAAAATACAAAGAAGAAAGTAAAACATTACTAAAGCATTACGGTTCTTAATATTTCATGACTACCTTTCAAAACAACTCTCAATACAGATATAAGGATGAGCGGATGCAATAATTCAACTATGCCTTTTTTTCTTTCAAAAAGTATTAATTTAACTTTTACCTGACTTCAACAGAATAAAAATACTAAAGTACATGTGAAGCAATTGCTTCATACAATTATTTTCTCACCACAAAATATACTGGTTTGTTAGGCTAATAAAAATAATATGTATAATTCTAGGAGGGGGAAATTTATAAACTATACACCTAATCCTCACTTATCGAGATGATTAGGTTCCAAAGACCAGGTTGTGATATGAAAATCTGGATTATGCGAAAATGGAGGATGACTACATCACTTCACCCCTTCAGCTGTACTGTGAGTGTCTGTCCCATTGGGCCTCTGCTGAGGTCACCTGCCACTGCTGCCTCCCCCTCCCCCATGTTGCCTCAGGATAGTTTGGCCCCTATGGCTGCCAGCAGGGGAGGGCCGGCCAGTCTTCAGAGCCAGGGTGGCCCAAGCACTGCCCCCCTCCCTACTCTGGGGTCCCCTCCCCCTCCTGTCCTCACTGTATTTTCATGATGGGTGGCCCTGGCTCATCCTCTCAATGACCCCAAAATGCCCTTGGCAGCTTTGTTGCGGGCAGGGGGCTACCTATCTGCAGGCAGAAGGGCCTGGGTGCCACGGGGGAGGTGCATACTGCCCACTGGGTCCCCTCCTCCATCTCCTCGCCTGAGTATCCCCCAGCTCTCACTGGGTGAGCCTGCCCTCTTCTGTTCCCATGTCCCCATGAGAATTGACAATTCACAACTTTCTCCAAAACGGTGATGGCCAGGCGCAGTCTGCCCTTGATCTTAACCTGCAGCTACGCTGACCACTCACCCAGTGACCCCATCCCCACCCATGTAGTCTGCCCCATCCTCACCTGTGCCTGCCCAGAGGGGGCATGGAGGAAGCTTAAGGGCTGCACAAGTGCTGGTCAGCTGACGTGGGGTCCTGCAGCCGGGGCACCCGAGTGCTCGGGTCAGGGCTCCTGACCACACCCGGTCCTTCCCTGCCACCCCTTTGGGGCTGGGAACTGGGGCCAGACCCGCACTCCTGCTTCCTCTCAGGCCCCAAAGCGGCCCACTTTCAGGACAGTGGCTGCTGCTGTTCTGGCCTCAGTCCCCCGTGGGCACCCAGAACCTACCAGACAGCGTCCCGTCCCTGTGGCCCCATTCCAGCCCCGCCTCCAATCCACCCGGCACACTGGCAACTTGAGGAGACAGTGCCCCTCTCCCCCTGACTCCTCGGGTGAAATACTACGCAATAAGAGCTTCCTTTCTATGTGCAAACGGGTCTGCCAGTCTGGGACCTCATCAGGGACCTCTGCCTTAGTTACTGCCACACATGCGTGGTTAATGTGCAAAATAATTGGATAGTAGATTTTTTACTATTGGCGTAAATGGGAAATGTCTGATAACGAGATAGTCGATAAGTGAGGAGTAGGTGTATTCTTTAATTTTAGATCATACTGATTGAGTTACTCATGGGATTTGAGGTGATTGGCGTTGTTTCTACTTCTATTTCTTGATTTACTTGTTAATATAAATAATATATTTTTTCTCAGTGTTTATAATGTTTACATTAATCCTGAGTAGTTTAATCACTGCCCTCTGTTTAAGTCCATTACCACTAATTCTCCATTTTCTGAGGTGTTTATTTTGATTCATTTCTTGGTTAGTTAGATTTCACATTAAGTTTTTTTAAAGGGGGCTTACAGGTACTATCATTTTTTAGTTATTTCGTATTTTAGACTGTCTACATATTTCCTTCATACTTAGAAGACAAATTTCTAAGATATAATATTATTGTTTTACACTTTCTTTCCCTCAAAATTTTGGGTATTTTGCTCCATTGTCTTCTAGCATTAAATATGAATATAAACATGAAATATGCATTTCAAAACTAGTTTAGTGATAAAGAGAATAAACGAGAATTTCGTCCAGTACATAGAAGACAAAGGTAATTACAGAAACTTTTTGTGCCTCAGTTTCTTCATTTTCAAAATACATAAACATAACAAATCCTACTTCCGAGGGCTATTGTAAGCGTTAACACATTTAATATATGCCAAAATGCTGAGAGTAATACCTGATACATTTTAAGCATCCTATGAATATCAGCAATTATTATCATAAACAAATATTGTACTAAGCTCCTCATAAATGCAGTGTACGATGTGATTATTAGAATCATAAAGGCTGAAGCAACTGACATATTGATAAGATAAACAATCAAATGACTAGCAGAGCAAATAACAAAAGATTGAAATAGTAGCAAAGAGCTCCCTGTTTTAAAATAACACTGATGGCTAAAGAGCAAAAAGTCGGAAAATACACAGAAGAGTCATTTTTTGGTCAGTTCGGTAAATAGGCAGTTTTCTACTTTGCCAGTTAAAACACTTACAAGATACCAAATCATTTGTTTTCCAAAGTAAATGCTTGGCTCAATTGATTTTTCCTTTTTTATATCCTTAAAAAATATCATGATTGCTTTTAATGGCATCCCCCAAGAAAAATCAGTGTAGCAATGGGATTACTTTCAGAGGTAAACCACCAAGAGAGAACTGGTGTTTTTTTTCCAACTGTGGCCAACACTAAAGTGTAAAATAAATGGTATGAAATTAGAGGCCGTGGCAAGAGCATTGTACATAAATAGGAGAGGGCTCCTACTGCTCTTCTGGTCTAAGCCCCCAAACGCATTAACCCATTGCCGTTGAGTCGATTCTGACTCATAGCCACCCTATAGGAGAGTAGAACTGCTTCCTAGGGTTTCCAAGAAGCAGCTGGTGGATTTGAACTGAAGACCTTTTGGTGAGCAGCCATAGCTCTTAACCACTATGCTAAGGAAATTAAAGATCAGAGAAATGAATTCACCAGGCAGAAATGACCCAGCTAGTGACTGAGCAAGATTGGGATATAGGATTCTTGACCCTCAGTATTTAATCTCTCTCCAACATCCCAAATTGTGTGTTTTAATTATTCTTTGTTTGAAAATGGAATACAAAGAGAAGAAAATTTCAGTGCTACCTTCTAACATTCATTGTTATTCATCACACTCCTGCCCCTC